TTACACTTTTCAATTTGCCTCTGTGGTCTGCATGCTGCATGCATTTCCATGGAGGAGACTATACCGCAGCTTGACTAGAAATCTTTTCTGCTGCAAGATTAACCTCAAAGCATCCATTTTTCCCCCTCTGGGTAATCACTTGACAAATGCATCCACAAAACCTCCGCACACATCTATTCCAGTGTACAGGTGCATCAACAGTCTTGAATCACTATTAGGAGAAATATCATCCTTGACGGAAAGTAGTGCTGCCTTTTCATTTCCAGATGTCTCAAGTTGAAGGATGCGGATTTCCTGGGAAGCCAGACATCGGGCGGAAATATCCTGCATGAGGATGTGGGTAAAAGCTTGCCTTAGCTTTGTTGCCATCCCCAGCCCAGTAGTTCAGCTTGGCAAGCATGTGGGATTTGCGTGGGCTGGGAGATATGGCATTCATTTGAATGTCATCCGTTCAAATAATATTGAGAAACTTGTACTTACGATGTGCCCAGTGCCCGGCCTTGTGCTTACTACATCAAAATACATTTTATTTTTGAGCCCACAGCAATTTTATACAACAGAGGAAACTGACATGAGATGGATTGGATGGGAGAATGTGAGATTATGTGTGTGTGTTGCTTTCTTATTAAGGACCTGAACATATTGTTACATTTGGAAATCTCTTTTTGTGTTTTACCCTAAATTTTAAGGAAATATACCACCTTTAAAACAATTAGGCAGAACTACATTTAGTTGTAAATTACAACATCCACCATCACTTAAAATTATAAAAGACTAGTTTATTATTGTCTCTCATGCACACACCTATAATGTACATATAATAGTAGTGACAGTAAGCTCTCAGAAATATCGTGTCAATAACTCTTCTATACTCTTTGCATAAATTATTACATTTAATTATCTCAACAAGCCTAGTTTGTAACAATTACTATCACCTTCTTATTTTACCGATGAAGGAACTGAAGCTTAGAAAAGTTTTGTTACTTGACCAAGGACACAGAACTAGTAAAAGTTGGGAATGGAATATAAAACCAGTGTTCTGGTTCTAGACAGTTTGACTCCAGATTTATCTTCTCAGCCACTCTTCTCCACTTAATATGATCTCATTTGATCCTCACACAAAACTTTGAGGTTTGCAGAATAAAAACTATTATCTTTACATATGAAAAAACTGAATCTCAGAGCATGTAAATGAAGGGAATCTGGCCCCTTACTCCTGCCTCAATGTTTGGTAATGTGATGGGTGCCTGTCATCATAAGACAACAGCAAGTTACAATAATCAATGAAAATAGATATGGTCATCAGTCATGGAATAGTAAACTCCTGAGGAAATATCCCGAACTTCCATTTGACGACAGAATCTCCGTGGGTCTTTATGTAGTTTGAATGATTTAAAAAATACTTTACTTTATAAAGAAATCTGAGTAAGAGTTCTTCAAAATAATCATGATAGAAATTAATGCTTTTATGGAGAAGGTGAGAAATTAAAATTTTAATAATC